CCGCCGCCGCCGCCGCGGCCCGGGGCTGCAGCTGCAAGGCCGCTTGGCAGGGCGCGGGGGTCGCCGGCTGGCCTCGGTCAGCAGCAGCAGCCGCCGCTGCAGCAGGAGCAGCGCCCTGTGGATGGGGGATCGCTTCTCCCGGCGAGCTCCGTGGCCAGCCCCTTCAGGGGGGGTCGTGGTCTCCCCCCTGGCCGGGAGCAATCGGCTGGCTCCAGAGAGGCTCGCCCACTGGGGCGGGGACCCGTACTTCGGGCGCTCTCTCGGGGAGCAGGGGCTCCGCTGCTCCTCTTGTCCTCGGGCGGGTACGGACTCTGCCCCGGCACAGGGCTCTGTCCACCTGCTAAGCGAAGGTTTCACGGGAGACAACAAAGGATGAAGCGGTTCCTTTCTTCCTTGGCCAAATTGTGGGTGGCCAGCAATCCGGCCGCTCCTTTTTGGTCCGCTGTCTTCCCTGATCTTCAGCAACACATCTTACTGTTTCCCCTTACTATAGTAAAACTTTTCCGGTCCTTACAGGCGTGGTGATGCTGGCGGCCCGCGTCTGCGGAGTGGGGAGGCTGGCTCCTGTTCTCCCCCTCTGGTTCTCTCCTTTCAAGTTTTGTTTTGTCCTAGGAAAACTTCTTGCGATGATGCATTTCTCTGAAGTTGTTATTGCCGGAGCTCTTGGACATCTCTGAAACAAGAGTCCCTTTTCATTTTCCTCGCAACACTCACAGTCTGGTGCGACATCTTTCCTTTTGGGTAGAAATTAGGAAACAAATATAACAAGGCAAAAAATGAACAGGAAAAAAAATTTGTCGAATTGTTCTGTTACCTTGTTGCTGAAGGTTGGGGTTGATGTTTTATTTTTTCCCCGGCAGTTGTCTGGAGAAGGAGGAGGAAGAAGAGTGCATTGGTGGAGGTGGAGATGTGTGTGTGCATATAGGGAATCCTTGATACACAACCAACTCCTGTGGGCACGTTGTACCGCTCCTATAGTACCCGACGGCGGGCGCAGGAGCAGGCGTGCCGGGGCAGAGTTGCAGCCGGAGCTAGCTCTGCGCCCGGGTTCTCTCTCTTTCTTTCTGTCTCACTTTCCCTCTCTCTCTCTCTCTCCCTCTCTCTCTCTCTCTCCCTCTCTCGAGCGCCCGCTCCCGCTAGGATCTGACAGTTCGCTCTCCGTCCCTCCCTCTCAGAGCAGGGACTGTCGAATGTTTACCCTCCGCCGCAAGCGCGCACCCACCACCACACTTTCCCAAATACAAGGAAGTCGAGCACCAGGGCCCCTGCTGATTGGCTACCCGCTGGGTGATTGGCAGGTCTGGAATGACTGGCTTAGGACGCCTGGCCCCCCTTCCGGCCGTTCCGATTGGTTGCTTTTTAATTTAGGCAGAGCGTCGTAGAAGCTGGAAATCTGTCGTCCCCCCCCCCACCCCAGCCTCCCTCCTCCGCGCCACTTTCCCCTCCACGCCCCTCCCCCTCCGCCCCCTTCGTCGTCCCCCCCCCTCCGCCCCACCCCTTCGCCACATCTTAACTCTTAGTGTCCGGCCCAAACCTCTGCGTTCCCTTGGCGGCTCCCAGCGTTCGCGATTGGTCTGGGGGGGGGGGGGGGGGGGGGGGGGGGAGAAATGGAAGAGAAAAGGAGGGGGCGGGGAGAAGGGGGACCAGAAGGAAAATGAAGAGGGGGAAAAATCATGAAAAATAGCAGCCTACCCATCCTACCTAGACTGCGTTGTGTCGCACCCCCACCCCACGCGAGAGATTTGTAAAGCGCGCGCCGCGGATGTACGGTTCAAGCTAATACCTATAGACAGATGTGTCCCCACTGGTTTCAAAGTTTCCTCTTCCCTTCACGCGCGGGCCCCCATCTCCGTCCTGCGGGAGGTGGGAAAAGGAAGGCTTGCCTCGCGCAGAGCTCCTGTGGCCAAGCTTCTTGGAAATCCGCCACAGCAACTTTGTGCAGCCGCGGCGCGCCGGCGGCGACCCTCTTTGTTTAAGTTCTCGGATGCCATCAGCTGGGAAACCTGCAGCCCTGTACCAGCGCGGGGCCCGCGCGTGCGAGACGGACCGCTTGCTGCGGCTGCTCGCTCTCCCCCCACCCCTCTCCCTCTCTCCTTCTCCCTCCTTTCCTCCCTCCCACCCACCCTCCTCTGGGATTCTTGCAAGTATCATGCGTGCCCTTGTGAGTTTGGAGGGTGCCGGTCAACGAAGCCACGCGAGGTATTTGAAAGGCAATCAGCCCGACCGTCCCCCTAGATTCATCGTAAGTGTATTCGATCCCAATGCTTTTAGAATGCAGTGTCTGCCTCTGCTCGCCTAGAGGGCCGAGGGCCGCTAGCTGCCTCCCCCCCATCTCGCCCCTTCATCGCTGACTCTGTGTGTGTGTGTGTGTGTGTGTGTGTGTGTGTGTGTGTGCGTGTGTTCATTGGTGGGGTTTTTACTCTCTTGCTATTCTTGGGCATGAGGTCGCTTTATTTTCCTTTCTTTGGGTCTCAGGTTTGCGAGGTGGCTGTGACCGCTGGCGACAAGTGCCTTCTCAGCCGCAACCCAGCTGAAAGAGTTAAGGGGCCGGGAGGAGGAGTGCGCCCGGTAGGCGGGAGAAGAGGGGGTGGGGTGGGGTGTGTGTGTGTGTGTGGGGGGGACGCGGCCAAGCGGAAACGCCGCACAGAGGAACCTCAGCGAACCAAGAAAAAAGAGAAAGTGGCAACGAAAACAAGGGCAAATTAAACCCTCCTTGGGGATTTCCAATGAACTAACCCAATTCGGACATTCAATAAATACACGACTCTTAATGAGTGTGCGTGTGCTTGCACCCCGCACCCTCAGCTGCAGGGCACCGGCCTGCAGTCTGCAGTCCCCAGCCCAAGCAGTAGCCGAGAACGTAACCCGGCGGCCGGTGTGCTCGGAATGTAAAGAACTGGCCTGCCTTCTCCGCGATGCATAATTCCTCTAGCGAGCTCACTTAGGTGAACTCACTTACAGAGGGAGCTCTCCAGCTCAGCAGCAGCCTCGCAGCTCTCTGCGTGATCTCGAGATTAACTGTAGACGCGGAGCATTTATGTAGGATCGGGTCCAGCTCCTGCTTGCCGGGTGAAAAGATACCATCGTAGGAACAGATCTAAAAAGCAGCAGTAACCAAAGCCCTAAACAGAACGGATCCCTCCCCCTTCCAAAAGGTTCCTTTTTATATTTATATATGCGTATATGTATATATAAGAGATGGAACACAGATTTCATTGAATAAATCTGAGATCTCCAGGTGCAGACGTTTGAAAAGTCGGTGCCAGCACCCCGTGTTTTCCTTTCCTGCCGATTTTGCTTGGATCTGGCTCAAAAACCGAAAGAGTCTCGTGGTTTTGTTTACACTGAATGGGGAGGATAGGAACAGAGCCATGGGGCCGCCTTTCATTAATATACAGTGAGGATTTTGTCTAAATTACTGCTATGAGTTTCACAGTACACGCTTTCAAAAGCCGTCTCAGGTGGCCTGATGAAACGGGATAGCGCCTCTGCAAACAGATCCACTTTCTCTCTTTGCAAGGAGGGTGTGCACGTTCGGGAAGCCCCCCAAACACAGTGCTCCTCAATAACAGAAACGCACTTCTGTTCCCAGGTCTGTCCCCTTCTCCGCCCCCCCCACACTTACTTCTCAAATCGCTCCCCAGCTTCCCCCCACTCCCGCTCCACCCCATCCGCCCCCTCCCTCTGCAGAGTGTGATTGTTTTGTCTGGAAAAAAAAATCCAAAGTATATAACAAGGGGAGAACAGTTAGTGCTGATTTTCATTTGCATACATTTTCATATATTTTGGTGAAAATAATAGACGAGTGAGAACCGGGCTTAGAGGAGTCAGTGTAAAGGGAAGGCTAAGGATACCTCCTCGGCTCTGGAGAGTAGAGAATCCGCCTTCTCCTCTACCCCTCCAGGCACCTTATTTAAAAAAACAAAAAACAAAAAAAAACCAAAAACCAAAAACCAACAACAAAAAAAACCAACCACCACCTTTTATTTAAAAGTCTAACCTTGGGAATTTGCTGGGTAAGTGTTTTTCGTTGTTGTTCTGTTTGTTTGCTTTTTCTTTCTCTGCTTCTTCCTTTTCCTTTCTTTCTGGTGTATTTGTTTATGTTCTTGAAGGTTTGGAAGCTTTATTTTCATTGCTTGGGAAGGAGAGGGGAAGGAAAAGTGTGTCGGAGGGACTGAGTAAAACAGGTCTGACGTTGCTAAAATAATACATAAAAAGGTGGACTGATTCCAATGGGCCTCACAGCAAGAGGAGAGAGAGAGAGAGAGAGAGAGAGAGAGAGAGAGAGAGAGAGAGAG